GGGTTTATGGGTTTATGGGTTTATGGTTTGTGGGTTCAGGGTTTAGGGCCGAATTTGTACCCTAATTCTGACCCTGAAAGCAATAGCAGCAGCAAGAGTACTAGTACTAGTAAGCCCTACTTCTGTCCGAAAAGTGATACTGACAGCAAGAGCAGTAGTGAGTAATAGTAAGCCCTAATTCTGACCCTAAAAGTAATAGTATCAGCAAGAGTACCAGTAATGGTAAGCCATAGATTGATCCTTTTGGACCTGCGGGAGCTTCGGGTGCCAGGTTGATGCAAAGGTTCGAGGCTTGAGATTTTTTTGCGTTTCAACGCCGAAGCCATGCTTGGAAGCTTTGAGGGCTCCTATCTACAATGGCTCCAAAAAGGTTAGGTTTTAGGGTTTAGGATTTAGGCTTGCTTTCGTAGGGCCACTCCGGGGTGAATTTCGTGAGGGAGGTGCCGTGCCTTGGTTTCGACTGGTTTCGACCGGGGCCGAGCTTCAAACGTGGATGGTTTAACATATTGGGCCCTTAGTAGTTAGACTAGGGCTCGGGACGGGGGGATGTTCTAGTAGAAGAAGTATATCTACTACATAAATGGAGTATAAGAGAATCTGAGCAACCGCTCTGACCTCCATCTTACAGTGTCCAGGTGTTTTGCAATTAGGGCTCGCACTCCTTGATAGCTTCTCTAGTAACCTGTTATGTGAGTCACTTGGCTTCCAGTGCCCATCCCTACAATAATCTGTATACACGCAAGAAATCCGTAGCCACCAGCCAAGGCTATTTGGACGACCAGTGGGAGGAAGAGCGTCTCCGATTTTTTACATGTGGCGTCTTCGAGCTACACAAGCACTTTCACTCAAACCACGGTAGCATGCCAGCAGAAGACTGCTTGGAGGCTTTGATGCACGAGTTGCTTTGTAGGGTTAGCCCAAAGCATTACACCCTTAACCCTAAACCCTTATAGGGTTCGGCTTAGGAATTGGAGGGTTTGGGTCATCATTAGAGGTGGCTCAACGCGCGCGCAGAACCTACATGTAGAACGTGGCCAATCCCAACTTTGCAAACCCTGCACAACACATCCTCATAACCGTAAAACCCTAAACCATAAACCCTCACTCAACTCTATACCCTGGCAAAACTGCTGTTTCGATGTCTGGAGCTACCAGGAAAAGGAGAACTACCTTGTAGCGACTGGGGAGTGGGAACTGGATGGGGAGGATGTGCTCCTGATCGGTATGCAGCTGCTGGGCTGTCAAGGATATTTTTGGAACTTCGTGCTTGGTGTAGGACCCCTACACCCGGAACCCTAATCCCTGAACTCTAAACCCTAAACCGTAAAAAATCTTCCAAACCTTAATGAAACCCTCAACCGCAGCCAAGGAAAATCTGCGGGCGCAGCAGTGGCCAAACCGTCACCAAGAGCTTCAGGCCGGAGATAGCTCACTCTGAACCGTGAAATTGCGATCCTAGCACCCGCGAGCAACAGCCATGTAGGTCGGGAGGCGGCGGAGGCGGGGGGCAGGGGCGGGGCCGGGGCGGGGCGGCAAAAGGACTATTATAGAGGCGGGAGCGCGGGCGGGAGGGCGAGCGGGTCGTGGGGCGGGGCATGGCCCTAAGCCCTAAACGCCGGATTTAGGC